CATGGGTCGGTGAGAAAGGGCCTTTTAAAGTTAAAAAACAAGGGAGAAGGTTGACATGGACAGTTAAAGAAACAAGGAGCGCGAAAAGCTAATCCAGCAGAAACTATTCATGGTTTTTATAAAAGGACCAGTTTCTGTCCCTCTCTGGGTAAATGACCAGGCTGCTTTCGAGGCAGCGGCTCTGAACTTGATTACATCCTGATGTAAACTTAGTATTCAGGAAGTGCGTCACTTATAATTCAGAGGGAGGTCTGCCAAATGAAGGCTTTACTTGTGACACGGTTAACATCATGCACACAGACAGGGGGTAACCTCAATATACCAGAATACAGAGGTGAGACAAAACAATTGTTTTGCAAGTCTCAAGTCTTTGATGAAAACCTATAAGTCAAGTTGCATCTCGAGACATGAAAGTCCAGAGACAAGTCCCAAGTCAAGACGTAAGTTATCATGCACCCCTTACTACATTTAATGCCATAAAAAATGTCTCTCCCTATTAGTGACAGTTAGTATAATTAATAAATATATTAAATAATAATAAACCATTGGATTATCTTTCCAAGTCAACAGGTTTACGTCCTAATTATGTCCTGAGTTGAGTTACAAGTCTTTTCTGATTTTAGTCAACTCTCAAGTCATCATGACCTTAGTTTAAAGATGCACGACACAGGCTAAATGAGCATACAGGAGCCATGCTGTCTGTCCACTCTCCGTGGCCCGCCTGCAGTCTCTTCACATTCTCGATGTCCTCCAATACTTTGACTAGTTCGCCAACTCCAAAAGTGTTCACCTAGTGGAAAGAAAGATGGACAAACTTACTACGCTATAAAAATCAGCTGAAAAAACAAACCGATAATCCAACTGAAGTTCTGAACTACACCAGATCCCACTGTAAGACCCTCTGGTTCTCTGTTACTCAGTACCTTGGTGAGGGCCCCAGGATGGAAAGTCCAGCGGATGTTGTTGCTGTACTGGACTCTGACGTCTCCTCGGTCAGTGATTCTATGTACAGTCCCGATCCGGCAAATGTACTGCAAACACAAATAGACTAGTTTCACCCAGGGCTGTGACCTTAATGTTCCATTTAGCAGCTGTGATTGGAGAATTGGACGCTCCGTTTCCTTTCACTCTGTTGCACGCCAACATCCATCTGAGCCACTTATATAAATAATCTGGATGCAAGGCTCAAGAGGCTCGTGTGTTTTGACTGTGAGGGCATGTTTATGTCTAAAACATAAAGAGTACATACTATGCGCAAAGGACAAAGACAACTTCCTGGAAAAAACATGTTTGTACACTTTGTACTTTTACGTTATAGACAAATTAAGCAGGGAGTTTATTGTATCGTCTGTTGTGAATATGTTTGGAATTGTGCAATTTGTCTTTCTGGCAGAAGGGAAGACTTTAATACCTCAGCCATTTTGGGGTTCCACCCTCCGTGGCCCTCCTGCATCTGTCGCAGGATCTCCACCTCCAAGAGACATTTGACCTTGTCGCTTTGCTGGAAGGAGTGGCTGTCAGCACTCTCCTGGTGCTGCAGCTCCGCGTGCTCTCCTGGATGGACAGGTGTCATGTTGGAGACTTGTGTGAGACACAACACTAGAAGTGTATATGTCTATGTTTTCTAATAACATTTATATTTACAGCGTTGTAATGTTCTAAAATGTCATGCAAAAATACAACAAAACATTACAAATATACGCGACATAAACTGACACCAAATATGTTTTTGATGAACCAGTTCCTAAGTGGAGGGCTGACTTCCACTTATCTGCAATACGTGACATAACAGACTAGTATCAGATTGTTCATGAAGGCCAATATCTGCCAAATATACTGCTTCACGTCTAATGTTCCCTTAAACAACTGAGAAATAAATGACTTGGAGCATACTAAGAAACAGGAATGGGTCTGCCTTACCGAGCTTTGGTAGGTGGTCTTTGTAATAGAAGCCTCCTTGGCCGTCGGACACGTATTTGAGGTCTACTTTGCCCTTGTGGCCCATTCGGTAGACATTGGTGGTGCCATTGGACCAGGAGACACTGGCCACGCTGCGACCAGACTCCGTGTCCCAGCCGCGAATGTCCACTACCTTCCCAACCTTACCCTCCCCGCCTACACACACAAAAATGCACACATACAAACACAAGATATGCGAGAAACAATAAAGCATCGCTGTGTGGGAGGAGTGGGAGATAAAAGGCAGTGAAATAAAAATGCATCTCATTAAAGAAGGAAACGTTGTTAGATAGAGATTGGAGCTCGGTGTGTTGTGATCAGGAGAAAAATGTGTGAGCAACAGAGAAGCACATGTAATTATCCACAGCCAAATTTGACAAGCACAATGAGGACATATGAGACAAATGAGATGACAGACACAGAGGTGTGGAAGAAACATTTTCCCTGTAGAGCCATAAAGTGTCAGTCACTTCCATTTTCTAGAGCTAGCCCAGTCCAATCAAACACCTGACAAGACACAATTCCCCATCTTGATTCCAACACATAAACATCATAGTGAAAAACAAGAATCACCGTTAAACAATAAAAAACATTTCACAAGAAGGTCTCAGATCTATAGAACAAGTTTCATGGTGTAAGAAAACTCATGTTGGACCATTAAAGTCATCACGCTGCCTCAGCGCCTATCCACGCCAGCTAAAGCAGAGACCCGTACAACTACACGGTGGGCTGGGGGGGTTTCTGAGCATGCTCGGAGCTTCCTGTATGTGCTAACCGCATACACCATTTAAGCCCGATGAGTGACTTAACCGAAACCCCAGGGCGTTGATTTTGGACTCATTCGCTCTAGCCCATAAAAAGGGAGCGTTGCTATTCTCAGAGACAACGATGACCCCCAGATCAGGAAACATTAAAGACACATTAGCATTCCCTCTTTTTTTCCTAACAGGAACATTAAAGGGCTTTAATTTAGCCCACTTATAAAGGGCTTTCAATTATTATTTAAACTATTTCAAATATTAGCCAGCTGTATCTGAAAGAGGGCCAATTTTTTTTCTAAATAGCAACAATGTTTGTCACATAATGTAAAACTGCATATATTAGTGGAAGCCATAATATCCATTCTCTACTTTCTTAACACCTGAATCATACACTATATTTTAAGTGAAGGGGCTTCTCAGTTTATGCCACTACATAGGGCTGGAAAAAGAAAAACAAAGAATACAAATGTTAAAGAACAAGGACTCTGTAAAGACAGGCACATCTGTGGAACAGACTCAGATGAGTCACTGGCAATATAAATGCACGCAGACACACACACACACACACACACAGACACGACATTTTGTGGGTTAAAAAGAGACGTGAGGTTAGAATGTTATTCTGGGTTGTGGATGGTGAAACACTTTGAAGACGTACAGCTCCATGCTCAAGAAGGTAGGGGGCCTGCTGAGTCGGCAGCACCAAGTTAGCGGTTTGGAACAGGTCCCCCCCCACACCACACACACACACACACACACACACACACACACCACTCACCGTCTTGGTTGCCCCAATCCCAGTCAGGTCCACGAACCACTTTAACCCCCTGGAAGATTCCTTTGAGGATGATCCGTGGGAGGTTCTGCCTCGGTGCCAAGCACACTCTGTGATAAGAGCATGGAGACACAGCTGAACAAACTGCTCTACGGACTGTCCAAGACAATGTTAAGACCTGATATGAACTCCTCAATATCAAACATAGTCCAAGTATGCGTATTAAAAACCCAACGAAACAATGGAACAGCTTTGAATCTGTAGCAAGCCTCGGCAGAAACAAGCCCCAAAAGTCAGTATCAAAGTACTTCCGAGCAAATACATTTCTTCATTAAACACTTAAGCACCTCCAAATCTGAGGCCATGATGCTCTGCCGGAAACCGGTGGATTGCTCCCTCCAGGTGGGGACGGAGTGCCTACCTCAAGCGAAGGAGTTCAAGTATCTCGGGGTCTTGTTCACGAGTGAGGGTAAGATGAAGCGGGAGATCGACAGACGGATCGGTGCGGCTGCAGCAGTAAAGGAGGCGCTGCACCGGACCGTCTTGGTGAAGAGGGAGCTGAGCCGGAAGGCAAAGCTCTCAATTTACCACCCGGTCTACGTTCATACCCTCACCTATGGTCACGAACTCTGGGTCGTGACCGAAAGGACAAGGTCGCGGCTACAAGCGGCCGAAATGAGCTTCCTCCGTAGGGTGGCCGGGCTCAGCCTTAGAGATAGGGTAAGGAGCTCGGTCATCAGGAGGGAGCTTGGAGTCAAGCCGCTACTGCTTCGCGTCAAAAGGAGTCAGCAGAGGTGGTTCGGGCATCTAATTAGGATGCCTCCTGGACGCCTCCCACTGGAGGTTTTCCAGGCACGTCCAACTGGGAAGAGACCACGGGGAAGACCCAGAACACGCTGGAGAGATTACATCTCCCAGCTGGCCTGGGAACGCCTCGGGATCCCCCAGAATGAGCTGGAACATGTTGCAGGTAAGAGGGAAATCTGGGTCAGCCTGCTTGGCCTGCTGCCACCGCGACCCGACCCCAGATAAGCGGAGGAAAATGGATGGATGGATGGATGGCATTAAACACTGGTCATGATTAGGGATTCCAGTTATTAAGGTTTAAATATTAGTCAAGTGACTGATTGATCAGTTAATCATTACAAGCTTATGAAATGCAAATCATCTAGTGAAAAACATCATTGAGGACCAATGGACACGCTACAGAATTTTGAAAAATGCTGTCGCAAAACTCCGATGAACAGATGAACAAAAAGCCCATTAACAGACGGACAGATCAAAACTCAACAGATTCATCCTGTGTAGCTTACAGGCTTTCCTGAAGAACAGACGTATGATAAAACTGAACATGCAGGACATATTAGATAAAACCCAAATGGATACTCTAAACCCAGGTGGAGTTCTCATGTACACATGCATACATTCATCATGCCTCACCATAATACATAACGTGCACAGTGCTACCTGTGGTGAACCGGTAGTTCTTCCACAAGTGGTCAAGAGATAAGCAGGATAAACCCTCCTTAAAATGAGATATTTTTTCTGATAGGATTTCCGCATAAATAAAAACAAAAATCCAGGAAACCTATGCAAAGCTGCTTTGATCAGTGTCAAAACTTGACTATCTAACGCACTGACCAACAGCCTCAACTTCATTCAAAGATTCAGACACTCTGACATACCTGATGGTGAAGATTTGATCAGATCTTGGTGCAAACGAGCTGCCTATTCCCATACTTCCTCGACGAGATCAAACCCCAGCTTCCATTTAAACCGAACAGGTTTTTGGATAGACTCAAAGTCATATAAAATCCAACGGGCTCAAAAGAAGAGGAGAGCCTTGCGAGAGCTGTCGTCCTCAGGGAGCCTCATCGAGGCTTTGCTGCTCCCACGTTTCTCTAGCGCTGGGCTTTTGCTTAAAGTTAGCGTTGGCTGACTTCATCCCCCGTCACTGGCCGGATTTTCCAGGTTCCTGGGTGTGATAGCAGGAAACGGCAGTACATTTGGCTCCTAGAGCCAAGTAACGCTAAATCTCGACGCAGGTCTGGGCTTGGACAGGTCTGTGTGTCTCTGTAAACAGAGCTTTGAGCCTAATCCATGGAAAGCAGAGCTATCAGCAAGCAGGCCAGCAGAGCATGCGCCTGTCATATACGGAGATACAAGAACCTATGTTGCAAATAAAGTATATAGGGTCTGTACAAACTCATTGTAAACTTCCTGAACCTGTAGCATTAAGGGTCATAAGAGAGAATTTGGCAACCTGTGCCAACGTCGCCACGGCACAAAGCTGATTTAGTACAGACCGGAAGGACTGATTGAAAATATATAATACTGGTTTATGACGGGAGACCTGATTAGTGGGAGAAAAGACTATTCCCAAAACTCGACCAAGAATTATTTCAGTCGTAAAGAGGATGGAAACTGACAGATGTCTCTGGAAACATGACCTCAGACTGTGACCTGTTGTTTGCCAGAGTAGCTACTCTGAGAAAGACAACAGCTCTTTCAAGGGATCAAGACTTCTAATCCTGCTCAGGCCAAATGTCACACACACACACACACACACACACACACACACACACACACACACACCCTGCTCCTAGACAGGATCAGACCTACGCCTACTCACACGACGGCTGGGTCAACAGTCAGCCGGAAGCAAGCTTCACTGTTTGAAACCATTTGTTTTGCAGAAATCACCAAAAGAAAGTCACAAGAAAATGAGAATTTGCATAGCAAGTGGTGGCTGTCAGAAAAATACAGGGAGGGTACGAGTTGGTGTAACAATACCAGTTGTGGGTGGCTCAGAGCTTTCCCCTTAAAGTAAGACGGCCCTGGCTTCAAATCTTAAGTTTGCATTTACTGTACTTACTGTAATGTGTCGGTGGACCCTTTACTATAGTGGAAACACAAATCCAAACCCTTTTCTATTACATTGAAAAAGACAGCGGACAGCAGCAATTCTGGCTTGCAGACTGAGAAGGCACAAGAATAACTCTGCAGGCCTGGAGTGGGGTCGGGGTTGGATGGTGCTCCTTAAAACGTTACGACTATAGCTGCAGTGTAGCTTGCTGTGCAAGGGGAGGATTAGGCATTGCGTTGACCGAATATGTCCCCTGGACCTGCGTGTGTGTGTTGTTTGTGTTGAAGAGCCGATTAACCAGCTGCATACCAACCACCTCCTCGTAAACACATGGTACACGCATATGCTGCCCTAAGCACCGTCAGCATGTACACACACACGTGTGTCAAAGCGCCGTAAACGTATTCACTTTGAGCAAAGGCAAGATTCAGAACACTGAGCGGCCATGAGTGGCGTATAGCCTCGCAATGTTTGGATCAAAAAACAATAATAAATAATCTATAATATTCTAATATCCTGAAGATTCACATTAACAAAGAAAAAAGCCCCTAATGAGGGTTGAGAGAACACACATCATGTAATGTAACGCTGGTACACAGCTTGATGCTTCATGAGCAGCACCTCGATTTGCACCTGTTATCTATACACGTCTTTTAGGAAGTTGAAAATGCTAATATGCTAATCCGCACAGCTGAGAGTCTCAGCATGCTAATCTATTTCAATCTGTTGTAATTACGACGGAACACTCATGTACAGCACATTCGGCTCTGGTCTCACACCATGTCTGTGGTGGTGTTGCAGCTCTAGTGCCAGTGAGTTGCAGCAGTTCGTCGCGGTGACAACTTCCCATTGTCCCCTCAGGACACCGATGAAGTTTCTCCCCACAGTCTGTCAGTGAACTACAAATAGATCTAGCCTTCTTAAATAGTCATTAAACCCTCACACATGTTTGGTCCACATGTCCCTCTTAACTATGTTAAGCCCAAACTCCAGTCTCCTTACATAAATCACTGCTGGCACAACAAGAAGCCCCACTCGTTATAAAACTAAGCTAAATTTGTCTTTCCAGGCAACTATCAAGCGCGTCCCATGACAGCCAGATTATAAATGAGTCTTTTGAAATGCTGTCGGTGAAATATGGGTCAGTGCGGTCCGGAAATAAAGAAGCAGTGTGCGTTTAGCAGCACGTAATGTGGAGTGCTCCTGTTTCACTCATCCGACGAGGAGAGAGATTTATGTTGATCAAAAATCTTTTTCATTTCCTTAAAAAAAGTATTTTAATTTGTTTTTGTTGCACAATCCGCGGACATTCACTAGTTTCCTCAACAAGGGGGCAACAAATAAATTAGATTACACTATGTTACACACTCAGCAAAGCAGCAATCAATGTTTCTTCTAATCTTAAACCTTTGAGTTTGAAAACTTGTACATAGCTAAACAAGATATAGAGAACCAATACAAATGTAATCTTTAATATTTTAAGTTCGGACTCAATTCCATTCAAAGTTTGCGTTTTTACTAAAAGTTGTCTCTGTAGATTAAATTTCAATCCAATTGAATACCACAGTGTCAAACACAATCTGTTCACGAATATGTAGTACTTCAAAATGTGTTTGCTGAAAGCTGAAATATGATTTAATGTCACCTCCAGGGGGTGTATGATGGCAAACCGAACACAGATTGGAGAATTTAGAGAAACTATTAGAACACCGAGAGAAGTAAAAGAAGTCTCTCTAAAGGGCACTGCTGTCATTACGTTGTATATTTAGAGCGGCCAATGATTCACACCAAACCAACATCCTAAGCGCTGTCTACAAATGTATAAATACACACAATACTATACAGAAGCCAGGACCAGTGACGTTTGAAGTCATTTACATCACGGCTGGTTGACTGACCTCGGCTGAGTCACATTCTTTTCTGCCACTTATGGAGAATTCATGCCTCAGAATCAATAAGAATAATCTCCCCCAGAGCTATAACTGAGACAGGCCCCGGCTGTTATCAGCGACGTCGATCCATTAAAGCGTATATTCATCCATTTAAGAAATGTAGTACAGAAGGAAATCCTATAATATTCTTGCTATAATAATCTTAAAATGACCAAACAGCTAATTCTGACAGTAGGATTGAGTATTCAAAACACTTTTGTCTGTGGTTTTAACATACGCCTTAATATTACACAACTCAATGATATCACTGAATCGTAATCTCGTGACTAATTTCAAGTATTCTAAGTTTAGCTTTGTCTAAATCAAATGTTACGCATCACAGCTGCTTTGGATTCCTGTACAACCTTTAAATGACTCAGATTAAAGATGCGGAAAGTAGCACTATCTGACACATTTATTCATGAAGGCGGGTTGCTTTACTCATCATCTTTTCTAACCCACGTCAACGATGATCAAACACATCAGATCCTCATCTGTCCGTGTATTGAAAACTTAATTAAAAAGGTCTCCTTGAACTAACTTGAAAAGAAAAATGGCTGGTCAGAATGTGAATGGGCGAGTATTTGTGCAGCGTCCACAGATGGAAGGCAGTGACCTGTTTTGACCTGTTCGGAGGGTTACATAAAGCAGTTTGTTCCACCAATAAAAAACAACCCCACAATGAAGGACACTGCTGAGCCAAACATTTGGGCTTCAATGACAAATCAATACTTCTGAAGAGAAACTGTGGTGGGAGACGAAATGAGATTCCAGCTACTGTCAGAACGCTAAATAATTACTGCAGGCCGGGTTTCACTTAAAGCCAAAATCTGTAACTGGTGTGCAGCTCAATTTCCACCTTAACCATCAGAGTCAAAATGGTTGGATGTGGACCCAATATGACTTGAATTAAGACACTTCTCATATCTAGTCAGGATGTGATCACAGAAAACACAACAGCAGGAAGTGAACCAGCAGAGAGATTGCAAGAATACTGGATTCAAGTCATGACCAGGTCAAGATCTGTAGCGAGGGGTGTAACGATTCATTTGCTGCACTGCTGTTTTAATTAAACCATTTCACTGACATTTAAAAATAGTGAACGTCTGTGACAGTAATGTTTTTAATACAAGGTCAAAGTCAGAAAATCCCAAATCCTACACAGAGGCTTTAATGCAAATACACTTTTGTACCCAATAGCTAACTAGGGATCTATTATTATTATTATCTATCTTTGATCTAATCAAATAAGCTAAAGAGTAACAAGTCTTGATTACCCCCCCCCCCCCCCTCCCTGTTTGCACCTTTCATTGGACAGCAGGCACAGGAAAATACATGGAGTTGAGTTAGACCTGGACCAGGCTAAACTCTAAAAGAAATCTGGGTCGTACATATCACCTCGTTAAAACGAGAACAGGCCATCCAGCTGACATTCAGACAGCGCCGGAAGCCATTTGGAGCTTTACTGTGAACTGATGCAGAAGAGTGGATTCTGAAGGGAGAACTCCGGTAATCTGGATACGTAGGCTACTCGGAAGCAGCTCGCTAAACATTCATCCCAAACAAGGCCACGTGTGGTTTGCCGAAGCTGACTTAAGGCTAGATGTTAATTTAAAAAACTGTCTTTTGGAAATAAATGATATTATCTGGACGGCCACTGATAAAAGATCCTAAACACAACCAGGCAATATATCAAGTTTACCATTATAAACGTAGTAAAACAAGCAGACATGTACAAAAGTGGAAAACCTGACGACATTGCTGAAGCCCTGCCTTGACCTGCTGTCCTGTGTAAACAGAGGGCAGACTAACGATAATTAATTGGAGGAAACGACACTAATAAGATCTTACATCCTGTGAGAAACGGAGACCTTGTGACGGACGACAACATGATTAGAATTTAAACAAGGATCAACTGTGCTGGGGAAGTGGCGGCGCAGTACTCACGGCTGGGAGTGCGCTGTCTCGTAGCGCTCGAAAGCGTGGCCGAGGTCGTGCTTGTTGTTCATGTAACACTGGGTGCACAGGTCATAGTCGAAGCACACCTTGCACTTCCATCGCATTCCCATGATGCCGTGCTTCTTGCAGCTGTCACAGATGATGTTGGAGTGACGCACGCCTGGAAAGGGGAAGGAGAGGTGGGGGAAGAAAGGTGAGTGTGGTTATGACTTGTTACTTATCACAGCGGCTCGTATCATGCGATGTGGAAGAACTGAGGCACAAGCACCATGACACAAATACCCCCCACCCCCTTCGCTCATCATCTCTTCTCCTCTTCCTCTTCTTCTTTCACTCCATTAAAGGGCGAGCTTCTGAGGCAGAAAAGTGTTGCTTTAAAATAGAGCACAATGCTAATGAGTCCTGCATTATTGTATGTGTCATTCAAGTCCAGAATAGAGCTGGATGGCTGATGTGAGAGATAGTCTTTAGTACCATAAATTGGGCTTAAAATGAACCCCTGTATTTTAATCGTAGGGCTGTAAAACTCTACAGAAACCCAGGATGATGACGATGTCTGATGAGGTTAAAGGCAGCATTGGATTGCAGCCGCTGATAGCGCCGTGAATTACACATCACTTGCAACCGTTCTCTGCACCGTATCACGGTCTGAATTACAGCTTAAACGTGGCCAGAGCGCTTTGCCCCTTTCTTTTGTGTCTGATTGCAACTATCCACGTGGCAAAGTATGAATGTGCTTGAGGCCAATGCGTCGCTTGTGAGGGGTGAGAGTCAGCCTGAGGCAGAGGTCTTGTCAGGAGGGGCTCGTCAGAGCGTCTCTTCCATCCAAACCTCCTGAGGGCATTTAAGAAATAATGTATGCCCAGGATTTGGTAAAGGAGAGAGGGGGAAGGAATAATTGGTTTATTCGTTTATATAATAACCATTTTTCAATCTTGTTTTTTTTTTCTCATGTATTTTTCAGTATTGACACTTATGGGAGCTTTATTATTTTTCTTGTCATTGCATCCCAAAATAAATGAGTTTGAGTGGAGACCATTTATAAATGAGCATCAGTAACCACAAAGTCTCTGAAGACGCCAATAATTTCACTGTAACTGCGTGTGGCTAATAGCGCTAGTCTTTGTGAATTGGACTGTTTGAGGCTAATTTGCATCGAAAGTGGGAAGTTTTGCACCAAATGTTGCACCGAATATCAACTAATTTAAATATGTGCAAATAGCACAGGAGCGCTGAGATGCTATTTGCTTGGCAGCGCAGTTAGGGGTCCATTTCCCCGTTTGTGGGTGCTTTAATATGGTTTCCTTTTGTCTCATTTCTGCATGTTTAGCGGCATTAAATGCTTGGTCCCATTCAAAGATAAAGTAATAATAGAAGATCTTTGTAAAGAATCTAAATCATTTTGGAATACTACAAGTACATTCCAACCTAGAATCAGTTCTAGTTGGCTCTGGTGTTGTAGTACAACCCCAGTCATGAGTGCTTACCGATTTGAGCGTTATCATAAAGCAGCAGGTCAAAGGAACCCTGGTAGCCAGTGCGGTAGTTGGTTCGTGTGCCGCTGTCCCACTGCACCACCACGGTCTTGTCTGGCGTCGTAGTGCTGCCCTGCCGCCCGATCTCCACCACGGTGCCCACGTGGCCCTCGCCGTCATCCTGGTTCCCCCATTTCCAGTCCAGGCCACGCACCGCGCGCATGCCCACCTCCATGCTGCCTCTGCCGGGGCCCGGCCCGGGGGCCGAGCGCGACGGCCGAGGCCTGGCGGCGCTCTCGCTCCCGCTGCTGCTGCGCCTCCGGGGCTTCCGAGCGTGGCTGGCTCGTGCCGCCGATATCGCGGGCAGGGACGGCACCAGGGGTGTTTCAGGGAACAGGTCGGGGGTGACTAGAGGAGAGAGAAGAGAACGGCCCAATGAAACCTAGAAGCAGCAGCAAAGTCACAGCAGGACACTGCAGGTACAAAAGACGTAGATACATTGGTCAAACAACAATATAAAATATAATGCACTAAATACTGGCATCTTCTTTTACATATTCAATACTTAACATAACAGCTGATCCTCACCAACTGGTCTAAAATCCACAGCAAAGCTTTACTCAGCCCACAGAACATTTTGGGTTCGTTTCCACCGCTTTCAAACCACACAACCTGTGTGTTGCCTCACTACAAGTCTGTCAGTGGCAGCTGAGGGACTCATAAAGCAACATACCATATGTCTCATTAATTTCAGAGCAATGCTTTTTCTCTTTGCTGGTGGATCATTCACTGAAGGCCTTGCTGTGTGTCATGGCACATTTCTGGAGAGAGCAGCTGGACACGACTGCTATGCCCTGCTGCGCTAATCAGACCCTGACCTGACCCACACACACACACACACACACACACACACACACACACACACACACAC